ACATGGGCAAGATAATGAGTACATTTCTTATCAAGCATTGTTGCCTCCTCCTTTGTTTCCCCTTCCCATCCCTTCCCATCCCCCCCCCAGCTTGTTTTTCTAAGGTGATGGCTTCTACATTCTTCCCAAGTGACACACTACCACACGTGACACACTTCCATGGATGTGTCCGGGGGATGGGTCATCCTCTCCTCTCCCCATCACAACTTTCCAGTTAGACTGAGAAAGTCATTCTTGTAGGCATGACCTTTGGGGACAGCTTTATTGAAATGGAATCCATACACTATGCAACATCCTCTCAAAATATTCGAGTCAGGGCTGCCATGTTCAGAGCCGTGCCATCCACACTGCATTCATCACACACACCCAAAGAAACCCCATATCCGTTAGCAATGGCTCCCAACGGTCCCTCTCCACTCCTGCTCCAGCCACCGCCAATCTGACTTCTATTTCAATGGATTTGCTTGCAGTGGACATTTCCTGTCAATGAGCTCATGCGCTTTGTGGCCTTTGTGTCTGGCTTCTGTAGTCGATTAATAAATCGTGGGTTTTTATGGTTCATCCATATGACAAACACCGCTATTTCATTACTATTTTATGGCTGAATCATATTCCATTGTATGGATCTATTTCTTCACCAGTCAGTAGACCTTTGGCTTGTTCTCCCTTTGGAACTGTTGCCAATAATGCTCCTATGGGTTTTCCTTGCAAACGTTATGAATGTGAAATTGCACCTGGTCTGTAAGATGTGCCGCTCACTCTGCACCAGTGTGTCCCGCGGGGCCCAGACCCCATCTCACAGCCTGCTTCAGGATTCCAGTGTCCGGGGACCAGATGCCAAACACACACACACACACACACACACACACTGCTGATTCCAAAGTCTGTGCTTCGAATGTTTTTTAAGTTACTCCACATTTAGAGGCTAAAATGGTAAGTCATTTGTTACTTCAAATGAATTACTATACTGTAAGTAGCCTGATAGCAGATTTCCAATGCAGCCTGGCCATCATTAATAAATAGATTCTTTGCAGCTCAAAGAATCTTCTGACTTTGGATACATTCTTCTTTTTGGAACATGCTGCTTTACTATTTATATGAGTGTAAAGATCAAACTGAGCTAGGAAAGAAGGAAGGAAGGAAGGAAGGAAGGAAGGAAAGAAGGGAGGGAGAGAGGAAGGAGGAAGGGAGGGAGGGAGGGAGACTGGGGGTAAAAAAGTCGGGGAGGGGAAGGAAGAAGAGAGGAGAAGAGAGGAGGAGGAGGAGGAGGAGGAGGAGGAGGAGGAAGAGGAAGAAGAGGAGGAGGAGGGGAGGGAAAGAAGGGAAAAGAAGGAACTCATTTCTTAGATCCTTTGGACAGTTTTTTCTACTAGTTCAGGGAAAAAAGTCTTAAGGTAGAACCCGATTGGATAGTAATGGTCATGTGATCATCTCTTAGTCAATCATAGCTAGAAGATAAGATGGCTTTTGGTCAGGACACTCAGAATGAGATTTTGTTTGTTTGTTCGATTTTTTTTTTCTTTCTGTGATCTTGGGAATCAGAGCCTTGCACACACTAGGCAAGTGTTCTACCACTGAACTACAACCTTAGCCCTAACATAGAGTTTTAATAACACTGTTTAGACACTTAATTTAATCAGTACTAAGAAAGACATAGGTACTAATAATGAGACATTTCAAAAAAATTAAGGAAAAAAAAACAACCACTGACCCAAATAGGATGCTTGATAATTCTTAATAAGTGCTATAAATGCTTCTAAAAGAACATTAGGATGCTTAATTGCTAAATAAATGAAATATAAACATTCATTATGTTGCTTAGAGAGTTCTTTAATACGTAATGGAAAAAACATTTTATCAAATGCACTGTAAGTAATAAATGCTTGTTTCCTTTTCCAAAACAAATCAATTCTTGAAATCATTAACCACCATTTAAATGTAGCTTGAAATTTTCTATTTATTCCTCCTTCTTAATTGTTTTTATCCGGGAGGCAGAGAAGCAGAGAGCAAATGGTGATGAGGGATTTGCAGGCAGAAGTCTGGCTTTCAACCTGAGCCCTGTCCTTTTTTAGTTCTGTGGTGTTTGCCAAGTACCTTACCCTTACTTGGTGTCCAAGAGTCATGGGAGATGGTCGAAGAATTCCTGCTTTCCTCAGAAATCTGAGGTACTTCTACTGGATCATAACACACCCAGGAAAATGCATCTAGGCCTTTATGTGTGTAGGAATTACCTGTGGATTGTGTTAAACGTACAGATGTTGTCAATTTACTGGATAGGTCTAATCTCAGTCAGATTTTGATGTCAGTGCTCCACATTTTGGGCTAGGACTGGTTTTTGGAATGTCTCCCAAGTTCATGAGTGCTTTAGAAACCATCCTGGTTTATAGCAGTGATGCACTAATGGCTGCTCTCGTACCCCTTGTGGAGCTGATGATGATAGAGGTGACTTTGGACCCAAGGTGATCCAAAACATCTCACCTGCTGGGAGCATGGCTTAGGTGATAGAGTACTAGCCTAGCAAATATGAGGCCCTGAGTTCAAACCTCAGTACTGTCACATACACACACACACACTCACACACACACACACACACACACACACACACATGTACACATCAACCTGTAGTTTTGAACAGGGACCATTTATTCACATGCTTGATCATACCGCAATTTGAACACATCTATTTCTATGCCAGACACTTCATTACAGTGGAGACACTATCAAACAGAAAGAGGCTCTCCTCTCGTGGAGATTTGATTCAGGGAATGTAATAAGGCAAGCTAATTTCAGACAGGCTAACTGCCGGGAATGAATGGATGGAAGAGTTTCAAGACTTCTAATAGGAGTTGGAAGGGTCTTCAAATAAGCTCTTCCCTGCTGAAGAGACCACAGGGGTTGAAGATGATGCTTAAAAAGTAAGCGAGCCTGGGTCTTTGAGTTAGTGTGTAGAGCAGAGCACTGCCTCCTTCCTATAGGCTGAATTACACTGTAATGAAAGTAGGAAATTTACTTTAGTGGCTGAAAAATCACTGAGATTGCAGGGCTATTGTAAAAAGCTAGCGATGCTCAGTGTACATAGGTATAGTGTTCCACTCTTTTGGAGATTCTAAAAATTATCAGTTTAAGTTAATGCTGGCTGGACATTCTTTTTCTACTCAAAACCCTGGTGTTGATGAGAATTTGCTGAATTAATAAGCGTGAAAGTGCTTCATAACGTGTTTAAAAGTGTCATACACCTATGAAGAAGTCTGACCATGAATTAATCTTTCTGAAATGTACCCTCTGCCTGGATTTACTATTGAGGAAAAATCCGAACAAAATAAACACTGATGTATAAATTCCTACTGAGATCAATTTTGTTCTCTGGTCATTTCTCTCTCTGATTTCTTGTTTAGCCTATTTTTTAATCAGCTCACTAAATTGCAGTGGAAACTGAGGAAGTAATTATAAAAGTTTGCAATTTTCCTCGAAGACATGTGTTTCTGTTTGGAATGAGTCCTTAGTGGCAGAGGAATAGGAACATTTAAATTAACCACATCTCATGCTTATCAGCACACACACCATCCAGCTATTTCTCAGAGGATCCTGAAATCGTCAAGGGAAATTTGTCTCGACACATACCCGCAGAGAGCCACTTCTTCCCTGGCTGCTGGTCTCAGAAGTGTAGAGCTGGCCTTCCAGCCCCTGGGAGCCTTCCTCTTCTCTCCTATGTTTTATGTATCATGAGCAGCCACCGCAAAGCTGTCCATTAGCAGAACTTGCGCCGTTCTCTCTCAGGCAGGAAAACCAGGGTCCTCTCCGAGACAGGTCAATGCCAGGGACTTGGCTATCCCTCACCTAGCAGTCATTCGTGTTTGTCTCTCACAGTTTGAGTTTACCCTTGTGACTTTGTGTTCTTCGTGAAAGAAAAGACTATCATAATTCATATGAGCTGCTTTGAACCTCAGTTCTGTTGGCATGAATAGCACATAAAGCCAAAACCTCCCTTCCAGTTACCAAATGGGGTCTTTCCTGTGCCAAGGGTCCATTCTAAGGCATGTGTGCAGCTAGGTATGTGCACACAAGTGTCCAGCTTTTCATGGAGCTTTTCTTAAGGAGAAGGATGAAAAGAATGAGTTTATCCTGGAGACCTTTGAAAGAGATTGTCAGCCTTTCTTTCTTTTTTGGTCAGTCATGGGGCTTGAACTCTGGGCCTGGGCTCTGTCCCTCAGCTCTGCTGCTCAAGGCTAGCGCTCTACCACTGCAGTCACAGCGTCACTTCCGGTTTTCTGGTGGCTTATGGGAGATAAGAGTCTCAGGGACTTTCCTGCCCGGGCTGGCTTTGAACTGTGGTCCTCAGATCTCAGCCTCCAGAGTAGCTAGGATGACAGGTGTGAGTGCCGGGCTTTCTTTCTATGCAGCTTTTAAGTCCTTGGTCCCTTCACCAACTGTCCAGTGACCAGAATACATGGAGTCAGAAATCAGAGCGGCAGGAAAATTTGGTCACACAGATACAGAAACTCAGATACTAGATTAAAAAAAAAAAAACAGATACGTAGAGTGAAAACTCAGTCATCTGATGACCCTCATGCATCACCCATCACCCATCCACTCATCCATCCTTCCATTCCCCATCTACCACCCAGTCATCTGCCCATCCATCCAACCATCTGTCCATCCATCTGTCCGCCCGTCCATCCACACAAGCCACGGGTGGGGCTGAGCACTCTCTTACATCAGTCTCAGTGTGCTCAGTTACACGGGGAGGGGGAGCAGACGTGTGGACAGAGGCAGCGAAGGTGACCCTGAAAGGGCTCCTGCCCGTGGGGGAGGGGGGGAGGGCGGAAGATTCGAGAGCCTGATGCCCAAGCAGAGATGAAGGTGAAGCAGCCGCCTATGCGCCATAGAGATGCCAGAACTCCCGGCTTCCTAGAGAGGCCGGGGGGTGGGGGGTGGCACCCGGAGGAGCCGGTCCGACGGCTGCGGCTCCGGAGCGGGGCAGTGGGGACTAAGGAAGGACCTGGCCGGGCCGCGAGCGCGCGTGGCTTCCTGTCGCTGTGAGTGCACTGGGCCTGGGAGGGCTGTGGCCGGGGACCGGGCCGGGAAGGCGCAGAGGAGGAACTGAGGATGACAGGTGACCGTGCCCAGCAGGGACCGGAGCGGGGCGCGCCTGGCTGGAAACCGCGCCTCTGCCCCTGCGCCCGGGGAGGGGGGTAAGAGCGGGGCGCGCCTCTGCCCCTGCGCCCGGAGTTGGGGGGCGCCTGGCTGGGGACCGCGCCTCTGCCCCTGCGCCCGGGGTTGGGGGGCGCCTGGCTGGGGACCGCGCCCCTGCACCTGCGCCCAGGGCGCAGCTCAGCCCGACTCTAGACGACTCTAGACGACTCGGCAAGGCGCCTCTCCACACTCCTTCTCTTGCTTTCTATTTAAGGGTCTTTTTTTTTTTTTTTGTCGGTCATGGGGCCTGAACTCTGGGCCTGGGCGCTGTCCCTCAGCTCTTCAGCTCAAGGCTAGCTTTTTTTTTTTTTTTTTTTGGGCTAGGGGGCCCAAACTTGGGGCCGGGGCCCTGCCCCTCAGCTCTTCAGCTCAAGGCTAGCACTCTACCACTTGAGCCACAGTGCCACTTCTGGCTTTTTCCTTATGTGGTGCTGAGGAATCGAACCCAGGGCCTCATGCATGCAAGGCAAGCGCTCTACCACTGAGCTACCTTCTATTTAAGGGTCTTTTACTGCCAACAAACCCGAGCGGAGCTTCCACAGCCCTGCCTAGCCAGGCGTGTGCTCTCACAGCCTTCTTTTTCCAGGGCATTTTGGAGAAAAGGTTGTCTTCCCTCTGCCACAGTGCTTGGAACGCTCGTTTGGAGAGGTCATGTGAAGTTCCCATTGAGCATGAATTCATGATGGTAAAATTGTCGTCATTGGGGTTAAGTTGAAAAATAAAGACCTAGCGGCTGAGTCCTTGGAATCAGGGGCCAGGAATGACATTCGTTGTGAAGATCTGATGATAAACCATCCAAGGGCTTAGGACTCTGCGCCATCCCCGCTGGAGGCTGGGGAGGCTGGGGAGGCAGTGGAAGGAGGGAGAAGACTCAGCTCTGAGCTCTAGATCCATCTCAGCCACTGAAGGCCTCTGTGATTGGCAAGCCAGGTTCTTAGTGTCTGAGCCTCTTTATCACTACGAAGCGAACCATTCTAGAAACTGTCTCAGTTGTCCCGCGGTGTAAACAAGAAACCTCTTAAGCACCTCACCCACAATCGCCTCCATTGCTGTTATTTTGATTTTAGGGAGGAAGAGGCAGGATCAGAGTGATTTTGTGAGTTGGTCACACCAGAAACTGGTACAAGAGCCAAGTCTGTGACCTAGGATTTTTATTTATTTTTTTGGATCAGTCATGGGGCTTGAACTTTAGGCCTGGGCACAGTGCCTGAGCTCTTCAGCTCAAGGCTAGCGCTCTAACTGCTTCAGCCACAGCTCTACTTCCAGTTTTCTGGTGTTTAATTGGAGATAAGAGTCTCATAGACTTTCCTGCCCAGGCTGGCTTTGAACTGTGATCCTCAGATCTCAGCATCTTTAGCAGCTAGGATTACAGGCGTGAGCCACTAGCGCCTAGCTAGTTGTTTTGTTTTGTTTGTTTTTTTAATTTCAAATCTGAGTGCATACTGTGAAAGGATCAGGTGCAAGCAATTAGTAGATAAATAGATTAAGGGAGATGAAAATTAGGCAACCATTTGGAAAAAATCCATATGTACTCTTTCTCTTTCTGGCTTATCATTCATGTCTTCTATGTTTGCTGAGATTTTTGTTTTAATGTGATTATTGCTGTCGGAGACCAGGCTCTTTAATGGCTGATTGTTTTTAAAGGTTTTACCCACCTTCTTTCATGGCTGCTTGTCTTGCTAAATTAAAGTTTTCCTTAGCTTTCTCTTCTGACTTTCCCGGTGAAGTCAGTTACGCCAGTTCTTACCTCTGGTCATACTTGGAAGGTAATGGGGAAGAGCATCAGTAGGACTGGTAAGTTTTGATTGCCTCTTATTGCACATTCCTGGCTCAGCTAATGCATACACAGTCCTAACTAATCTTTGGTCTTGTGGAATAAACTAAAAGAAAAACAACAAAAGATATCAAAATGAACTTAAAAAAGAAGAAAAATGGAGAAGAATTAGAAATATTTGTTATTTTTTTTCTTTTTTTAAGTCGTGGGCTTGAACTCTGGGCCTGGGCACTATCCCTCAGCTCTTTGGCTCAAGGTAAACAATCTACCACTTGAGCCACAGCACCACTTCTTGTTTTCTGGTGGTTAGTTGGAGATGAGAGTCTCACGGACTTTCCTGCCTGGGCTGGCTTTGAACCTCGATCCTCAGATCTCAGCCTCCTGAGTAGCTAGGATTACAGGCATAAGCTACCAGCATCCGGCTTGTTGCATTTCTTTAACTGGTCTCTTGGCGCACCGCAGTGAATTGTTCTTCATAAACATCCCTGTAAGCACGGTGGTCTGCAGCCCTCCATGCTGTTTTGCTCAGTTCCCTTTGTGTCCTCACTCCAGAAGCCACTGAACCCTGTCTCCAGATGTCATACCTACTGAATTCTTCACCAATGATCTGATCAACCTCCCAGTCCATCTGTGCACCCTCTAACCCAGCACCTTTGCAAAGTCTAATCCTAGCTTTTAGAAACGTAACAGAATAACAAATCCCCAAACCTTAGTGTCTGAAAGAAAGGAGACCAGAGAAGCGGGGTCTATGGAGTGCCTACCGGTCATCTTTGTTAGTCTGCCAGCTATTTGTTGGCTTGCTGCCATAGGCTCACAACTTAGAAAAGTGAGTTCTAAAGAAGTGAAATATCAACCAGGCACTAGTGGCTCATGCCTGAAATCCCAGCTACTCAGGAGGTTGAGATCTGAGTATCACAGTTCTAAGCCAGCCCAGGCAGGAAAGTCTGTGAGACTTTTATCTCCAGTTAAACACACCAGAAAATCGGAAGTGGCGCTGTGGCTCAAGTGGTAAAACACCAGCCTTGAGCCAAAAAAAAGCTTAGGGACAGCATCCAGACCCCAAGTTCAAGCCCCACAACACACACACACACACACACACACACACACACAGAAGTTAAAAGTGTTGGCCAAGAATCCACAGTAATACCCTGTATTTGAAAGTATGGCGTGACCCAGACCCCAAAAAAACATTATATGAGTCAGGTCATGAATACATTTCCTATGGAGCATTGTTACCCCTCTGAGAAAGACTTTACTACTGTGTATGTAATGTAATAAGGACTAATATCTTCCATTAGATCTTCCATTCAAAAACTGAACTGGAATAAGAAATTTGTAATATAATGCATGAATCACACATACACAGGGAGAGTTAAGGGAGCAGTAGAAAAATGATTGTTCTCATGTTCTTGCCTCCAATCATCATATTCTTTACCTATCTATTGCTCCCCTAACCAGTTTGGAGATGATCTGAATCCAGTCCCAAAGGGCCAGAGCTCATGTTTCTAAGAAGAGTTTATCAAATTACCCTGACACACCATTCCTTAGAATAAAAGACACAAGTTAAAAACTTGAAAAAAAAAAAGAAAGTATGGCGTGAGCAGTAGAGAGGGTTAATCCAACTAAAATCTAACTAAGGTGCATATAAGAAATACCATGATGAAACCCCTCTGTACAACTAATATGGGCTTAAAAAAAAAGTGACAGAAAAGTAAGAGAGGCTCCATGGGGGAGGGGAGTGTGAACAGAAAGAGCAAAGTACCTTATGTATGAACATAGAACAAGGAAACCTGTTGAAATGGTTTTAAGAAGGGCATGGATGAGGGAGAGCATGAAGGGTGAGGGTGATAGTGTACATTCTGTGCATGGATGGGAATATAATATATTATGTAATATAATGTATCATAAGTATATATTATATAATGTATAATATACATTATATATAATATACATTATATATTATATATAATGTATATTATATATTATATTATATATTAATATATATTATATATAACATATATATTATATATAATGTATTATATAATGTATATTATATAATATATATGCAATTTGTGTATGCTTTATTTCAAAAAAGACAAGAAAAGAATAAAATGCCCCCTGATTTCCAAGTGCCCACAAACACATGATTCTATTAACCCTTCTAGTTGATCTTGTCAAGCACAGTAGATATTCTAACCCTCATATAACATATGAAGACATTTGAAGGTCAAAGGGTGATCAGGGAGCTAATGTTACACTGCTCTGACTAGAACCCAGGTCTGAGCATGTGTGCTATTAGAGAATATTGAATTCTTGCTCTTTTCCAGTCTTGTTTATTTTTTTGTTCAGTGTTGGGGACTGAACCCAAGGCCTTGTGCATGCCAGGCAAGCATTCCATCTTCGAGGTACATCTTCAGCCCTCTTTTCATTCTTGGGATGAGCACATTTGCATTTAGATGATAATATTGCTGCATTTTTTTTATTTTTTCTTCAAGGTCCAGTTACTCCTTGTTTATGGCATGGATTCCCCACGATTTCCCAAGGAAACTGTCCTCATTACTGGAGGAAGTGGCTACTTTGGTTTCCGGTCTGTATCTCCGCAAAAATAAGCCCCTGAGATTTTTTACTAGTTTGGCAAAAGGGTACCTTCCAGTTTTGACACTTGTGCAGGGTAATTTTACTGGCTTGTGTGTTGTTAAACCAAAAATAAATAGTGTTGTCCATGACCCTGATGCTGAAATTGAAAAGCACAGAAACATTCTGCTTTAAGAAAAATTCCTGATAAACACTTGTAAGTGGGGGTGTGGTGATTATTCATGCATCCAAAGATCATTTACAATAAGAACTATCCATTCACAGTGATTTCATTTCTACTTAAGTAGAAGAGAGTGTTCTTGTTTCTCAAATTGGAATAGATAATGCTGGTAGCAATGGATATAGACAGATGGAGGATTCAGGATGAGTCAAGGAGGCTCGGATCTGCCCCAGTTATTTTTCACGCTTTTCCTGGTACCGCCCAAGAGTGGCGCGATGGCGCGTTCCGTCTTTCTCATTTCAGCCTCGGCTGTGCGCTGCACCAAAAGGGAGTCCATGTGATTCTGTTTGACATCTGCAGCCCTGCGCAAGCCATTCCGGAAGGGATCAAGTTCGTCCAGGGAGACATCCGCCGCTTCTGCGAGGTGGAGGCCGCCTTCCAGGATGCCGAGGTGGCCTGCGTGTTCCACGTGGCCTCCTATGGGATGTCCGGGCGGGAGCAGCTCAAGCCAAAGCTCATCAAGGAGGTGAACGTGGACGGCACAGACAATATCATCCGGGCCTGCCAGCAGAGAGGGGTGCCCAGGCTCGTGTACACCAGCACCTTCAACGTCATCTTCGGAGGCCAGGTCATCAAGAACGGGGATGAGTCTCTGCCTTACCTGCCTCTGCACCTGTACCCAGACCACTACTCTCGGACCAAGATGATCGCTGAGAAGAACGTGCTGGAGGCCAATGGCTCAGCCCTGGAACAAGGCAAGGGCATCTTAAGAACTTGTGCCTTGAGGCCAGCCGGCATCTACGGGCCCGGCGAACAAAGGCACTTTCCCCGGATAGTGAGCTACCTGGAGAAGGGCCTGTTCAAGTTCGTGTATGGCGATCCTGAGAGCCTGGTTGAGTTCATCCACGTGGACAACCTGGTACACGCTCACATTCTGGCCGCCCTGGCTCTGAAAGCTGACAAAGGCTATGTGGCCTCTGGGCAGCCCTACTTCGTCTCCGACGGCAAGCCTGTGAACAACTTTGAGTTCTTCCGGCCCCTGGTTGAGGGCCTGGGCTACACGTTCCCATCCATCCGCCTCCCGCTGGCCCTCATCTTTTACTTCGCTATCCTGACAGAGTTAACCCACTTCATTCTGGGCAGACTGTACAACTTCCAGCCCTTCCTCACTCGCACTGAGGTTTATAAAACAGGTGTCACGCACTACTTCAGCTTAGAAAAAGCCAAGAAAGAGCTAGGCTATGAGGCTCAGCCATATGATCTGCAGGAAATGGTAGAATGGTTCAGAGCCCACGGCCACGGCAAGAACTCTGAGCATGAAGGCCTGCGGTACCTTCTCTGGGATGGGCTGCTGGTCCTCCTCTTGGTCATGTCGCTTCTCACCTGGCTGTCTTCTGCGGGTCTGTCAGTGTGAAGGCCAAGTTAGGAACAGAAAGGGATCACGCTCACTCCAGTTTAACAGCCCTAAGTAACCACTTAAGAATAGATTCTTCTGATGGCATAACAAAGCTCTTGGGAGCTTGTTGAATAGGGGAAAGACAGAGCACTAGAAAGGGTTACTTTGATTAAAGGATAATGGTATGAAATACACATGGTACGAAAAACCCCTTTGAACAATTAATACCAAACGAATGACAGAGCGAAGCACTGGTGGCTCATACCGCTAATCCACCTACTCAGGAGGCTGAGATCTGAGGATCTGTACAATTTGAAGCCTGCCTGGGCAGATAATTCTCAAGACTCTTATGTCAAAGTAGTCAGCAAAAAGCTGGAAGTAGAAGCATAGCTCAAGAGTAGAGAGCAAAAGTGTGAGGCCCTGAGTTCATGCCCCAAAACTGGTGTTCACATGCATGCGCGCGCGTGCGCGCACACACACACACACACACACACACACATGACAGGAATAATATACTTGCTATTTAGAGATGGTTCCTAGTGGGAGAATAAAGTAGGTGAGATGCTTTATATACATACATTAAAATAGAGCAATGAAACCTGCTGAAATGGTTTAAAGAAGGAGGGCAGATTAGTAAGAATAAAACAATGTCACTCTCAGGGAAATGGATGGAATTAGAACAAATTGTGTTAAGTGAGGTAAGCCAAGATCAGAGACAAACGGCCAATATTCTCCCTGATATACGGCAGTCAGATCTAAAACACGCTGAGATATCACAAATGACACAGGATTCTAGAAGCTTACATACAGTGAGACCAGAAGAGGATAGTCTTCGGAGAGAATCACAAAGGTGCAATACCCAAGCGCCTCTTCATATGTATAGAAAATAATACACATACCGAAACAAATTCCAAGAGATGGACACAAAGGACTTTTTTCTTAGTTTTTTTTTTCCTGATGATTCTGTATTCTTTACCTTATATACAGTGTATAAACGTACATATCTGTGGGAGGGTAGGGAGAAGACAACGAATCTGAGGAAAAGGGGTGCAAAGTTCAGCAGCGGGGTACACTGGACACGGGCGGAAGCTATGCTACTCATGGGTGGAGATGGGAGGGGGGAGCGGGAGAGAATGAGGCGCAGGTGACACCCTGCGAAAGACATGCACGTGTTACCTGACGTGTAAACGGAACTCTGCTGTGTATCACCTTTAAAACAACAATAAAGCAGATTGGGAAGAGGAAATAAAGGATGGCAGATGAGGGAGAGGGGTGGGGGACGCGTTTGACTGATGCGTGTCTGGAAAAAGGTTGCAATGAACCCCTCGTGCAACAAATACTTGCTTCTAAATATGATTAAAAATTAAACATAAAAAACAGTTTCATTGGTCTGAAGGGACGGCTCAAGTGGTAAGCCCTCAATTCTAACCCAATACCAACAAGAGAGCGAGAAAAACGACATAGGTTCTGTCTCTCCTTTTCGTTCTTTCCTCCTAAACGCCTCCCTGTTGAGAGAAAAGAAGAGACAGAGGTAAGTTCCAGACTTCACTTCTGTGTCCTTGTGTCTCCCATGGTAGAAAGTCATTCGGGAGCTCTGAAGGGGCCTAGTTCTTTTGTATAAATATCTCAGAAACCGGTACAAAAAAACGGACTGAGACTCAGAGTGACCAGGAAATGGCCACCACAGACAGGCTTGAAGATACAGAAACCACTACGCCAGCCCGTGCCGCGCGGCCTGTCAGTCACAGCACTCGCTGGCCCGGTGCATGTCTGGGGAACGACCTTTATCCTCTGTGTGATATTTAAGCAAACACACCTTACCCTGCCTCACAGGGTTCTTTTGGTAACTAAATTAGGCAAAACGCCTAAAAGCCTGCTGAACACACATGTCACCATTGTCAGTGCTGTCTTTCTGCATTTCTCTTGGACGGCTCTCCTGCTCAGTTCTCCCCTGAGAGGGGCTGCTAGTATTGAAGCTTTGGGGAATGTGTCCACGCCCAATGTCTCTGGTGTTTGCTCAGAGGTAGAAAACACTATCTGATGATTAAGGAAAGTAGTGACCCAAGCAGTGATTTTTTTTCTAACGTTTAAAAATGTCAAAGAGCTCATAATACAGTGACTTGCTTACCGGGGGGAATTTGGGCTCTGAAGAGCACTTACAATGAGTCACAATGGCAGGCTTGTCCAGCCACCCCTGAGGACAGCTCGGGGAGGCGGTCATTCAAGTGACACAGTTGCCTAGAAACCAGCGTGGCAAGAAGACAGGGTCTCTGTCATGTCACTGGCAGGATTTCATGCACAGGAAGGACTGGACAGAAACAGGGCAGGATAGAGGGCTTGGGGCAGTGATTGCTATTGGAGAATGCAAATAGATGAACAGAACCTGTTGCCCGCTGCCCAGAGGTCTTGGAATGCAGCTCTGAACTTGGTGTCAGAGAACCTATAGCACAAATGCTTTGTGTGGCTTTAGCCAAGTACCCAGAGGCTCTCTAGAACCTGACTTCCTCATCTGGGAGAGATGGCAGGGGCTGCATTCGCGCTGTACACTCACCTCACTCTGGTGTGGTGTCAAGCATAAAACAAGATATGTTAAAAAAAAAAAAAAAGTACTCAGGCTGGGAAGGTGGCTTAGTGGTAGAGTGCTTGCCTAGCATGCATGAAGCCCTGGGTTCGATTCCTCGGTACCCCCATGTACCGAAAAAGCTGAAAGTGGCACTGTGGCTCAAGTGGTTGAGTGCTAGCCTTGAGCAAAAGAAGCTCAGGGATGCCAGGCGCCGGTGGCTCACGCCTGTAATCCTAGCTACTCAGGAGGCTGAGATCTGAGGATCACAGTTCAAAGCCAGCCCAAGCAGCAAAATTCCTGAGACCCTTATCTCCAATAAACCACCAGAAAACTGGAAGTGGCGCTGTGGCTCAAGTAATAGAGCGCTCGCCTTGAGCTGAAGAGCTGAGGAACAGCAACCTGGCCCAGAGTTCAAGCCCCATGACCAACAGGAAAAAAAAAAAGCTCAGGGACAACACACTAAGTTCAAGCCCCAGGACTGACAAAAAAAAGTACTTTTAATATATAAACTGCAAAAGAAATATGAGGTAGTGGCGGTAGTAGTGTTGATTATTTTTTATTTTGACTTCTGAGTTACCACACATTTGCTTGGATTTTCTTTCAGAATCAAGTTCATTTGAATTTGTTTATCCAAACAGTGTGTATGTTTGTGTATGCATGTATGTATGTATGTATGTATGTATTTGGGCTCAACAGCTCTTTAAATAGTCTAGTTCAAATGCTTGCTCTACAAGAAAATTGGCCAAGTGATTTCTTTCCCAGACATAGCCACCACATTGGGGCAGGAGCCATGTCTATTTGTCTACTTTTATTTCTAGGGAGCACAGATCCATTCCTTTGTGTGGCCAAAAAAGGCTTAGGGATTCATCTCTCCACCAGGTGGTCTGACAGCCAATTTCCTAATTATTCCTTCCCATAAGTCCAAGACTCTCAACTTCACCGAATAAAAACACTCACGGTCCAGGTTAAAAATGCAACTCCAAGTGCTATCACACAAAACAGAACGGGAAGCTCTGGACATGAAACAACCAGGAAACTGAGGACCTTTGGGAAGCGGGGAACAACCAAAACCAATGCTTTCAGAATGCTTTCTACTATGTGTACTTCACTATTAAAGAAAAGAAAGAAAAAGGAAATACGCAGTCTCTAAACTCTTCTTCCCCTGGCAGCTCTGACTCAGAAAGCCTGTGCTGGATGGGAATCTACACAGGTGTGTTTTATCTTCCAATAGCAAGGCAGAAAATGTAGCCAGACACCAAACACGTGCTCCTTTGCAAGTACTGAGAGGCTCCTGTATTCTTCATGCTTGTTTTCTTCCGGTGTCTGGCTACCGCACATGCTCAGTACATTGCTGAGTGTGAGACCTAGAAGAGGAGGTGCGCTCAAGGGCCTTAGATCCCAGTGACCTGCCGCCTCCTCTGCGCACAGGCTGCTTGCACCATGTTGCCTGCAAACATGCCGCATTCCACGGTTGACTTCTGACTTCTCTGGCCATCTTACAGACTCCTTGCCTTGGCCTAAAGGCTTCTTCTGCAAATCCATCTTGTTGGGCCTTGTGACCTCATTTTAGAACAAGCAGCTGTGCACTAATTAACATCTAACCGACATGGCTTCAACCATGGTCTCTAGGCTGTGCAGAGTCATACAACATCACCTGCTATATTTTAGAGCCCATAGATGCCAGGAAAAAAAATAACTTTGTCCTGGGCTCCAAATACTTCACAGCTAAGGCCAATCTAACCTCCCAAAGAGAAATTACATCCAGCAAGATCTGGGAAAAGGATCATTGAAGGATCTGTTTGTGGAAATTGACATGTTAGATCTGTGTGAAAATTGACATGTCGGATATTTTTTCAACAAAGCTGGTGGAAACATGCCAGTGACAAAAACATTTTCCATTACTAATATGTTGGGTTTTAATACTGACAAATAGTCTAGGTATCATTTTCTTCCATTTTTCAATGAGACCTTGCGATAGGTCTAAAAGTAAAATACATTTTACATACATCCATATATACATGCACGTATGTATGAAGGCACATATGTACTTGTTTCTTGTATATGTATATGTCTCGTATATGTCTACACATATATGTATATGTATTTATGTGCACATATGTACAGGTATATGGATATACGTTATCTAGTTTGTTCTGTATATTTTATACTTATATATTAAGTATTTTATATATTTGTATATCTTATATATTTATAAATATTTTGTGTGTTATATATTACATGTACTATATTATATATATATATATATGTGTGTGTGTGTGTGTGTGTGTGTGTGTGTGTGTGTGTTATAAATAGTCAGAGAAGGAGTCTTCCTGTGCTCCTTACATTCCCTAGGAACCAGTGCATTGAGTAGCTAGCCTGGGACATTTTGAAATACTTTCCAGCTTTTGCATGATTTTTTTTCTTATGTAACACTGAGGAATTGAACCCAGGGCTTCATGCATGAGAGGCAAGCACTCTACCACTGAGCCAACTTCCCAGCCCTGCTTTCCAGCTTTTAAAAAGAATTGTTCGCTGTGTTGCTGGGGCAAATCCAGCAAACCCCACTGTATTATCAACATGGAGGATTTTCCTCAACGTGGGAATAATGATAGGTATTAACCTGTCACCTCAGTTAACAAGTGACTCAAATGAACATT